AGTAAAAATATTGATAATTCAATACCCAGAAATAATTTATCTTTTCAAACTAAATTTAGAATCAGTGATCCAAAAACCCATATGAAAAAATTAAAATTCAATACCCAACTAGAAACGGATCATAAAGACCCAGAACTGGGAAATCCACGACACCGACAGAGGACTGCAACAGCCTTCCATGCCTGAGTATATCACGTTCTCTGAGTCGACTCAGCTCTAGTTCATGGCTCGCCAATGGAATGCTTCTCTCCAGCTTCAAAGTCGCCGGAAAACCACTCATCACTACGGCTGCCTCCGACATCACCACCACTATCACAACCCAGGCGGGAAAAACTGCCGCCATTAACCTTTCTCCTACACAATATAATATATATGTATATACAAACGTATGTAACAGTATGCCGTTTTGTTTCTGAATTCCTCTGTAACACAAACAATTTGGGAAAAGGGAACAAAAAAAAACTAGAAAACAAGAAGGATGAGAATTCGAAGACAATGATTGAGAAGCAACGAGTTTGGGTCACAGAACATAGAGGAAAGCTTGAGACACGACACAACAGACTATATTAACTGATGCTTCAGACTTGGATTACTCAACTTTTTGTTAATAAAATAAGGGTAAATTATACAAATAGTTCCCCACTATAGGGTTTTATTCTTTTTGAGTCCATTAATTTTTAAAAATTATAAATTGTCTCTTGATTATAAGATATTATTTTACCGATTCACTTGACTATTAAAAGTTACCAAATGGTCACCTAACTATTCATACGTTTCAATTTGTCATTTTTTGTTAAAAATTTTATGATTGTATGAGCTGGCATTAACTTGTTGACTCAATAAAATATCACTATATAGTCGATGACCATTTTTTTATCGTATCACAGTCAACAGGTTAACGCCCAACTTAGATGACCGCCAACTTTTTTTACGAAAAATGATGAGTTTGGAACATATGAATAGTCGAGTGACCATTTTATAACTTTTAATAGTCGGTCGAATAATACCTTCTAGTCAGAAGACTATTTTGTAACTTTTAAAAGTTAAAGACTTAACAAAAATGCCCTATAATCAATGGACTATTATGTATTTTACTCATAAAATAAAGGGTAAAACATACTAGAGGTTCTTAAACTATTATCAAATGATTTTTTATCACTAATAAGCTTTTAATAATTAAAAAACATTATTAAATTTATTTAACCGTTATAAAATAATTATATTTTAAAATAATAATTAAATTATTACATTATTATAAAATAATTATTAAAATTTATCAAATTATTATAAAATAATTAGTAAATTTATCAAACTTTACTATAATATCATAATTGTTATTTTATAATAATTTGGTAATTTTACATATTATTTATAATTTCATAATATTTAGTAATTAAAATTATAATTTAATCATAATTTAAATATCTCTATTTTATTATATTATATAAATTTAAATATCTCTATTTTATTATATTATATAATAAAATTATGTATATATCATATATTAACATTTTATAATACCAAATAATTCATATTTTATGTGGTGAATATAATAAACATAAGGGTAAACTACGCATTTAGAACTTAAACTGTCAGTTTTGATCCATATTAGTACCTAAACTTTCTATTTTTTCAAAATCATACCTAAACTATCCGTTTTCGTTTCATTTTAGTACGTCGTTGTACTTTTATACGTGACATTTTTCATGGATAAATTACATTATTTATCCCTTAACTATCTTCTTATTCCTATTTTGGTCATTAAAGTTCAAAAAAATTTCAATTTAAATTCTACACTTTTAAATTGCTCATGTTTTAACCACTCTAATTTATTTTACTAATAATATTTTTTGACATGATATTTTTTAGAGAAAATCGCCTCAGTGACCAAAAAAAAGTTATAATATACGATTTTAACCAACTCTTTTTGGATTTGCCAAAATGACCAACAAAATCGCAACGCGAAATAAAAATCGCAACGCGATCCCCAGAATCGCAAATCAGTGTCCAAAATCGCAACGCGATTCTTGAAAATCGCAATGCGATAGTCAAATTCGCATTGCGATTTTCCAAAATCGCAACGCGAATATGAAAATCGCAACGCGAACACATAAATCGCAATGCGTATCCGTAAATCGCAACGTGTATCCGTAAATCGCAACGCGTTTCCGTATATCGCAACGCGTATCCGTAAATCGCAACGATAATCCGTAAATCGCAACGAGAATCTGTAAATCGCAACGATAATCCGTAAATCGCAACGAGAATCTGTAAATCACAACACTGAAATTTTGGGTATAACACTGAAATCATAAACTAAATCCCTAAATCGCAACTCATTCCATCTCCATCTATCACTCTCTCCGGCGACATCCGTTCCTATATCCAACGACATCCTTCCCAATCCGGCAACAGGTTTTAGTTTCGCAGCTCGTCTGTTTAGTAAATTAATTTACAACCATGAAATCATCTAATGTTGATCATGTTTGGATAGATTTGTGTTTTGGAGGGTCATGGGATATGTTCATGGTGTTTTACAATATATGCCTTTACCCATGAATCTTCAACTAAAATTGTCTTTACAAAAGTTAACTTATGAAACTCTAATGCTACGTGTTTCAAATAAATTGAATTTAGAGCCCCTAAGTGGATTTAGGCTATCTTATCAGAGAAATGGTAAAGTTATTTGTTAACCGACAATGAAGATGTTGAACGATTCATTGCTTACATTAGGGTTTCACAAGATGATGTTACATTGTATGTTGTTGAACCTAGAAGTAGTATTGTTGGGTCAGTAGCGGGTAGTAATCAACTAAGTTTTTCTCAAACCCACAACCTTTCTTTAATCCAAATCCCAATCAACTTTCAGCACCAAATTCCGGTTTTCGTATTGACCAGTTAGACGATGATGACCAACAGAAAAAATTGTGAGTACTAGTCAGTATTCGAAATTTGGTCTTGGTCAATATCCGGACTTTGATATTGGTCAATACACGGATTTTGATGATGTTTCAGAGAAGAAACAGACCATGCGTGTAATGATATTGATATTGGTCAATACCCGAATTTTGATGATGAAAACAGCCGTTGCCGAAGAATGTAATGTTGATGATAATGAGGAGGAAGTTACGACTGTGAATGAACATGTTGAACATCCATTCTGTAATTCATATAATCCTGAAGAAGAAAAGAAGAAGAAAAAGTCCCCGAAGAAAAGAAAATGCCACGGGCGTATAACTGGAATATGCCAGAATTACTTCAGATACCGGAAGAAGAGTTGGTAAAGATAGCAGTTGATTGTTACACAAAATTATTCGTATCAAGAAAGATGATTGTTTGATACAAAGGAAGACTTGAAGATAGCTTTGTATACGAAATGTGTGGAAGATGGCTATCAACTAAAGTTAACAAATCAAGCAAAGATCGTTTCGAAACAAGGTGTATGATTGACAAAAACTGTATGTGGCGTATGATTGCAAAGAGGATAAAAGATTGCGAAATGTTTTCAAGTTAGGACTTTTTGATAAACATACATGTTCAAGAACCCAAGTTTTTCCTCACCATAGACAGGCAAACAAAAGGTGTTGGGTGGTTTTCTGGCTGAGTTAATGTTTTTGAATGGTAGGGTATATCGGGGACATGAAATTATGACTGACATGAATGCTCGGTCAAAGATTAGTATCTTATATTCTCAAGCTTGGAGAGCCAAATGTTATGCCTTGGAATTGTTGAGGGGGTCGCCAGAAGCATCGTTTGCCCAACTGCCGGCTTATTGTCACAATTTAAAGTTGAAAAATCCTGGTGTATCTCATATCAAAACAGATAGAGATGGACGCTTTGAGTTACTATTTATCGCCATTGGTGTTGCAGTTAGTAAATCAATATAATTTTGTTGACTCATTTTGTTAGTTACATGCATTTCACATTTAAATGATTATATTTCTTGTTTATATGATTTGTAGATCGTTCGTTTATAATTGCATGCGCCCAGTTATTATAGTTGACGGAGCACATTTAAAAGGTCGATACCTTGGAGTAAACTTATTAGCAGTAGCCATGGATGCTAATAATGGGATATTGCCATAGCTTACGGGGTTGGCAAATCTGAAACCTCTGATTCATGGACATGGTTATGGGGCATCTTAGGGATTGCATAGGTCCTATTAGCAATCTAACAATCATATCCGATAGGGTAAACTCAATTGACAACGCTGTTAGAAGGTGTTTCCCAGATGCTTTTCATGGACTTTGTGGTTTCATTTGTATAGAAATCTAAATCAAGGTCTGCTGGTATAAAAAATCACAAATGGACATACTGGAAGGCTGTAAAAGCTTATCGGGAAGTGGATTTTAATAAGCATATACTGTTTAAGACGTGTTTTCCTCAGTGTGCTCAAACACTAGAAGATGTCGGGTTTTGAAAGATGGTCAAGAGTACATCAACTTGGAGCAAGATATGGTTTCATGATGTCTAATAGTGCAGAATCATCAACGCTCTAAGTCGTCATTCTCAGAAATTACCCATTACTATGTTAATGGAGTTTTTTCGAGCCTCTATTCAACAGTGGTACTACAAGAAAGAAACCATGCAGTTATTTCTTTAAATTCGTAACTTATCATATATTTTAATAAGTATTATTTATTTAAATTTACAGGAACATTGGAACATCGTGTTACACCATGGACAGAAAAAAAGATAACGAAACGTGTTGTGAAGTCAACGTCATGGAGAGTTAAACCATGTTCAAACACTTTGTTTGAAGTACTGGATAATAACTTAAATGGGCTTGTCGATCTAAATGCAAAGACGTGTAGTTGTATGAAATGGCAAACATCTGGTTATCCGTGTGGCCATGTTATAAAGTTTCTCTTCATCTAAACCAAGATGATTCAAGCGCATACGCTATGGATTGCTACACTACAGAAGTATATCGACAGACTTATGGCGAGATTGTCTACCCTATTCACATCCTTCTGAGTGGGACATACCAGATGACTTACAAACAGTTTTGCCACCAGCCATGGACAGAAGGCTACCTGGGCGACCAAAAAGGCACGATCGTATATCGTCTAAGGGTGAAGAGAAGAAGAGATCGACATGTAGTCGATGCAAGGAAAGTGGTCATACAAGGTTGACATGTGGATCACCAGTGCCATCACAATCATCTTTTCCTCTACCAAATATGGATCCTCATCAAAATCCAAAGTTCATATGGTGTCAAGCAAAATGCAATCAAAATCGCAATCATCTTTAAAATCCCAATCAAACGGCTTCACCTTTTGGGACTGTTAACTTAGGTGATTTTAAATGCAAACGTTGTATTATGTGGATTTTATGTGTGAACTTTAACATTTTCAGTTAGGCATGTATTAGTAACTTGAGTTTGAAAATTGTTATGATCTGTTCAGTTGTTATCACTTATTAGGCATTCATTTGAC